CCCTTTCGGTGTCCAGCCGCCGCGCTACCCGAAGGAAGCGCCAGGGCTGAAAAACTATCACGTTTCCAAAGTCTAGACAACAGAAGTCGACATGCCGTGGTTGGGTTCGAAGCACGGACTTACAGTCGAAATTTTTCGCTAATTCGGACTCTACTGAAGAGAAAACCAAATCCATAAGATGTCTTATCGTGGGAAGTCGGACGATCTGCTGAGGGTGATTCGTTGCGCGACGAAAATGCGGTATTTGGAAAACGATGATCTGGAAAGATCTACCAATGGGGACATCGAACAACCTTCTAAAAGCTCGCAACCACATTTCCAACAGCAAAAGCGTGTTCCTTGGCTGATTTTCCAAAGAAGACTTGGCTGTTGAAGTGTTAGAAAGGAAATTAAACAGCAAAATAGAAAACTCTTTCAACGCTGTCCAGTTGTGGTTCCTTTCGTCCTGTCATAAGTTTGAATAACGGGGAGGGTGTTGCACGGCTTGATCATCTCCTCGGTGATCTACTGATGTGCCATAGAAGAGAATTTTGGTAGCTCAGGTAGCATACTTCCATCATACCACCATACAACGACCATCTACTGATAGGTTAGTCGAGCTACGCGTGATCTTTCCCCAAATCTACGCGCGCCGTTGNCAGCGGATATTTCTAGCTGCCACTCAGCGGGACCAGTTTAATTAAAAAGTCATGATCAACCTCAACGTGGAAGGAAAGTTCCCTGTGAGAGACCGGTCTATGCTTGTGTACAGTTTTATCTACTGCCATGCGTTACAGTATGTTGGTCGGCCAATTTGGTGCTTGCCAGAATGAGATTAAGAACATTCTTCGATCGGAAACGTTTGAAGATCGTGGTTCACTTTGTTGAAGCCAGGCAGATGTCAATCCTGCTTTCAGTATCATCCAGAAGGTTCCACCAATGAGTCGAAAGCGCTTAAACGGCGTGTCCTTGCTGCTATATTTAGCCTCCAATAAGAACCCCCAAAGCTCCTCACACTACCAACTACCGGCCGATAGCCTTTTAAGTTATAGCCAAACGCGACCAATAGAATTTTTCCGCAAATTTGTCTGGGCTCCCCCGCGACATTTTATCTTCAAGGCTATCAAACATTACTCGGACACAGCCCTTTGTAACCAACTAAGCCAGGCAAGCCTTAATTTGAATGTATCACATCATTAACCTTACATTTTTTTTACTTTCTTCTTTCGTTCGAAACCAGAATAACGGTGTGCTGTCTGTTAGAGCTCTTTTCCATGGCATCAGAATCTGCCTTGGAAGATCACTTTGTCGGTGCTCAAGATAGCTGAAAGTGGTCCATAAACGCACGTCGTCCTCTACACTCTACTGAAACGTTTGGGTCTTTGAGCTCATTGAAACCAACAAGCGTGTGTGTGACGCTACCTGACTGGGGAGTCTTGACAACTTGGCCAATCGATCGACACGACCTGGGTCTGTTACTGGATCGTCGTTGGAGATGTCGGGATTACCGTTCACATCACTCAAGCGCAAACGTCTTCACCTTTTTCAGGCGTAAAAATTCAGGTGCTGCCAGCATGCTCAGGTAGGGTGCCGGTAACACACATCAGACATGTGGATTTCAACCCCTGCACGGCCAGGTACATGCAGTGCTGATGAACTCAAATAAGGGTGTAAATCGAGTCCAGCGCTTCCCTCCTTCGGTGTGGACTCATCGGAATGATTGCATCGGGACAGAAGAACGACTGTTTAAACGAGAGCGATGTGAGCGTGCATTCTGTATGTTAACCGCCACACATTTGTTCACCAAATTCCTCCTGTGATAAATTGGAGCAGACAAGGATATACTGTCGGTCCTTAATTATAGCTTGATTCAGTTACCTTGCAATAAGTCCAAGATTTCGTCGTTTTACACCAATTTCACGCGGCAAAGCAAATGTAATCGTTCTACTCCCACCTGAAAAGCAGCAGGTGCTCACGAATGGACATTTTAAAAAGGTAAACTGTTCTTACTTTGATTGAGACAATTGGAAGAGCCCTCAAATTAATCGGAGTTAGTCATTTCTCTATCAGCCGTTTCGAAGTATCTCACGACAGTGATCGTTTTTTCTGTAGAAGCAGGGATGTTTGGGCGTCTGGCTTAATTGGAACTGCATTCCAGTGGCTTATCAGATGGGTCAGTACAACGCAGAGTTTACCGAAAGTGGACTTGGATTGGTTACTGCATATTTTTGCTCCGCTGAGGTAAATAGTATTAACAGTAGTCGTTCAGCTGCAACCCCCTTTCGGTGTCCAGCAGCCGCGCTACTCGAAGGAAGCGGCAGGGCTGAAATACTGTCAAGTTTCCAAAGTCTAGACAACAGAAGTCGATATGCCGGGGTTGGGTTCGAACCACGGACTTACAGTCGAAAATTTTTTCTAATTCGGACTCTACTGAAGAGAAAACCAAATTCATAAGATGTCTTATTGTGGGAAGCCGGAAGATCTGCTGAGGGTGATTGGTTGCGCGACGAAAATGCGGTATTTGGAAAACGATGATCTGGAAAGATCTACCAATGGGGACATCGAACAACCTTCTAAAAGCTCGCAACCACATTTCCAACAGCAAAAGCGTGTTCTTGGCTGATTTTCCAAAGAAGACTTGGCTGTTGAAGTGTTAGAAAGGAAATTAAACAGCAAAATAGAAAACTCTTTCAACGCTGTCCAGTTGTGGTTCCTTTCGTCCTGTCATAAGTTTGAATAACGGGGAGGGTGTTGCACGGCTTGATCATCTCCTCGGTGATCTACTGATGTGCCATAGAAGAGAATTTTGGTAGCTCAGGTAGCATACTTCCATCATACCACCATACAACGACCATCTACTGATAGGTTAGTCGAGCTACCCGTGATCTTTCCCCAAATCTACGCGCGCCGTTGAAAGTCCACTTTGCCGATTCGTCGGAAAGGGTTCACAAGGTGGATACTAGCGAAGCGCAAGAGTTGCGACTCCAACTTCTAAAGTGGTATGGACACATACATTAGGACGATGACCTACCCAGTTTGTGTAACCAGAAAATTCTGACTAGGGCACTCTAGATGAATCGCTCTTGTACTCAGGTAAGGACGTGTCAGCTGTCCGCCCAGACACCGGGTGGGACTTGGGAACTGAATGCGCACATCTGGTAGCAGACGTCTGAATGAGTCAAATGACGTTCTTATACTTTCCTGTCGCCAGTTTTTTGTGACCGTCTCCCACTTCTCTCAAAAACAATACATGAGCGTACTGTTCGATGAGCATTGAGAACAAGTTATTAGCCCCGAAAGCGTTTACCTGGATGCAGTACTCGGTGTCAGCGAAACTTCGGTACATTTCGTAGTCTGATCCACCAGTCACCCCGAGTGATATTTATCTTTGGTGAGAATTACGAACGTCGTCCTGTCTTCGGACCTGGCAACGGTTCTGATGTTAGCTGGAACAGTAGCTACTAGCGCTGTTTTATCAGGCACTGCAGTGGTGACCTTGTGCTACCCGGAAAGATGTGTGCCAATCAGAGAGGTTCCATTCGTAAGGGACAGCAATTAGGAGGGTCTTGGCGATTGACTAGCATCTAAATAGGATTGGCAAGTCAAACTACCACGCTGAAAACGGATTGTACCGGGAGAAAGCTGTAGGGGAAAGTTGTAGGAGGAAGCTGGTACAGGTGTTTAGATAAGCAGTAATGTCTTTGGTTTTCTTTCCCCGGAATCCCTTGCCTTGGCATGTCATTAAAAATAGTCTCCTTGGGGAGTCATTTTCGTCTTGGGAGGTCTTCATTGAACTAGATAGTCTTTTTGTCAGGTCTTAAGCCCCTTAAAAAAGCCACTGTCCGTCATGGCGAATTTACGAAGCAACGCTTGTGCAACATACTACTATCACAGTTCTAAGTATATTAATTTTTGAGCCAAGCGTGATGCAATGCGTGCCGCAGATTGTGACTGGTGACTTCAATCCAAATCTCACCAAAAGCTTGTTCTGAAGACTAATGTACCTTCATATTGCATTATATCGAAGAAAGTGCAGTCATATCTTATTTGCTCCATCAATTATTCTACTTACTTGTTCATTTATTTAATTCACTTGTCCTACCATTAAATCTGTATTGAAATAAACGATAGATCCGCGTTCGGTCCGTTTGAGAATTCCGATCGGACACATTCAAAGACATTGAAAGGTACACTGAAAACTGTATGAAATTTGTAGTATACCGATAAAAAAATTAGTGAGTACAACCGAAAGAGTCGATATGACCAATAGGTAAGTTGGTAAAAAGAGGGTGGAGGGCACTCAGACTGCTTGTGTGGAAGTGATATTCACTGCCCATTGTGGAAGTGTGTCCATTTGAAATAACGGAACCGCGTAGCTTATGGTTGCTACAAGAGTGATCAGACAACCAACGACATTGAGGAACAGGCCAGATTTTATCTGTGAATGAAAAAGGGAAAAGAGGGCAATAGGAACTCAGAAACGAGGATTATAACTTATTGTTTTTCAGGAACCATCGGACAGAATTCATGAAGTTATGGCATAAAGTCTAGAGGTCTAACGTTTGACTGCCACCGGTCGTTTGCACTTTTGCATAAAACACGGCGGAAAAGGTGTGTGGAGAATAACTTTGAGATGTCCTATCATCGACGTTGTTTGAATACTAAATAATGGTGGGAAACGCTGAGAAACGGTTCAGTAATTTCCATTTCGGTCTTCGTCAGATGCAGGCGGCATTACCGCTTGACTCATACTACTCGCATGTTTTATCAGCAGTGTATACCGCCACATCAGTAGCAAATCATTTGGACTTGCATATTCCAAAGCCGGCTTGGGCTAAATTATCGCGTATTGTGAGCGGCTGGAGCACTCATCCAACATCACTTTCAGAGTTGCTGGAATGAGCATATCTGCACCTAAGCCAGTTCAATCGCATACCTACCTACACCAGAAGACACTAAAGAAGATCCCTTTGAGTCTCTAGCGGTCGCTGTACGTAGGTCATCGTGAATTCTTGGGAAGCGGACACTATAAAATATGTCTGACTATCAGTTGCATACAACTGACCAATACCGTGTCCGCTGATGCCAGATTGATTTCGCCGACCGGTAGCTTCCACACGTTACGTGAGAGTTAGTCTGACCGGAATCTGCTGGCACCGTCAGATCGTTCATCTGTAGGATTTCGACTGACAACAAAGTCTACTTTCATCGACGGGGACTTTAAAAATGAATGTCAACTCTGGTTCGGAACGCCTCTGAACATAAATCGATGCTAACAACAGAGGTAGCAGAACACGGTGGGTTTTTGTCGGTCGGATTTGTAACGGTCCATTTGTTTACCTTCTTCCAATCATCGAGGCACACAGCTATCAAAGTTCCGGACGTTAAATTCTTGTTCAACTCATCTCAACCTATGATACTGAAGGTGCAGGGTTCATTTTCTTTTGCACTTTACTGAACCGCCCTCGTACAACGGGGAAGTTCTACTCACTGCCTTCTCGTAGTGGGTGTTCCACAAAAATGAAACGACGAAAGCGGGTATCCCGCTCAGTAGTGGGTTTGAAAATTTGTTGGTTTCTGTCTCAGCTGTGCCCTCATTTCAAACCAACAGCGATGAGCACTTCAAAGCAACCCTGCCGGATTGGACGGAGGAGCTGAACTCTGATCCAACAGCCCTGCCTCGTAATGCTTTGCTGCACTTCACAATGTTTTGGACCACAGTCTCTTTAATACTTTCTTATTACCGTGAACCCCGGTCTAGATAGCCGCTTGATCGCCTGGTGCGCTTGGCTAAACCAGAAAAGTCAATGAACCTGCGAGCCAGTTGATCTATTGATCACTGTCGCGTACAAGCGGGTCAAAAAGAATACAACTCATCCGTCAAGGACGGTTGAAGAACAACCAATGAAATCTGTCGCAACGAAAACGGTTATTCTATTGTCGCTTATTTAGTCCCGTTACGTTCGGAGCTGGTTCTCCCGATACACACCTGAACAAAAGCCGAACGACACAACGCGTAACAATTTCCAAAGAAAAACTTTATGCTCTTTCTGCCGCCAGCCATTCTTTGCAAGCTACAACCTCCCTTGTAACTGACGCTTCTTTGACTGTCTTCGTGATGGGGTCATCAGAAAGCAGGCTCGTTTGAATGTAAGGATACTCTCAGATGTTGGGAGCCAAGCCAATAAAATACGTGTCCTTTGCGAGTACACCGTGTGTAAAACATATCTATCTAAAGTGTGGATGCCTGGATGCGGTGTTCGTCGAACCGGATCTCCTGGAGCAGACAAGCCTTCTGACTCTATCGCAGTGGCTCACAAGACAATCCAGCACAGTCCGTCTTAACAGACGTCATTGTGGGCTGTCGACGGATTTTCAGCAACCTTCTGAGTAGTACATTACAAAGACGTCATTGTTATTCAGATGAACCAGTTCAAGAACAACAGCATCAATGTTCGTAAGCTCACCACTAGTCCCACCGGCATTCGGTTTCAAGCAGCGTGTGAGAGATGAGTTTTGTTGTAGACTTCATGCAGCTATTGGCAAAGCAGCCAGACGAACGAGCTTGTGGTTGTCGATGATGGGAACCCGCACACTGGACCATGAGCTACCTCAATGCTTCATAGTTTCTCAAAGTTTTGGCTATCGCTATGGCGAGTTTATCAATTTCGCAAAGTTTTTGTGCCATTCATAGGCGTTTCCGATAGCCTAAGAATCAACCGCTAACTGGATACTCAAACAAGGGACACGTCAGACGGAAGAGACTTAATGCGTGGAAGCTTCCCGTTCGTTCTGAGGGGTACGGACCCAAATGGAATCAGATCGCATTATCCTACCATCGGAGTCTAGGCACCGGAGATGGAAAGACACAAATAACTACTCCATAAAATTTTGGANTGCGAGTACACCGTGTGTAAAACATATCTGTCTAAAGTGTGGATGTCTGGATGAGGTTTTTGCAGAACCGAAGCTCCTGGAACAGACAAGCCTTCTGACTATATCGCAGTGGCTCACAAGACAGTCCAACACAGTCCGTCTTAACGGACGTCATTGTGGGCTGTCGACGGATTTTCAGCAACCAACCCAGTAGTACATTACAAAGACGTCATTGTTATTCAGATGAACCAGTTCGAGAATGACAGTATCAGTTTTCGTAAGCTCACCACTAGGCCCACAGGCATTCGGTTTCAAGCAGCGCGTGAGAGATGAGTTTTGTTGTAGACTCGATACAGCTGGTGGCAAAGCAGCCAGACGAACGAGCTTGTGGTTGTCGACGATAGGAACCCCCACACTGGACCATGAGCTATCTCAAAGCTTCATGGTTTCTCAAAGTCTTGGCTATCGCTATGGAAATAATGGCGAGTTTATCAATTTCGCAAACTTTTCGGGTCACTCATAGGCGCTTCCGATGGCCTAAGAAGTAACTGCTAACTGGATACTCAAAAAAGGGACATGGTCCATCAGACGGAAGAGACTTCATGCGTGGAAGTTTCCCGTTCGTTCAGAGGGGTAAGGACCCAATTGGAATCAGATCGCACTATCCTACCATCGGAGCTTAGGTTACTTCTGGCATCTAGTTTAAAGCTTTTTTCTGTAAGAATCTCTACAGAACAGCTAAAAAACTTGAAATATCTGTGGTAGTCGGCAATGTCAATACACGATGGGCACGTAGAGTTGAAACAGTCCATGATGGAGAGATCTACGTCTCCACGGCAGAAGAACTGGATTTCACGGCACATCATACGGTTGTTGAGCCAAACTGAGGAAATGAGATTGTCGAACGCCCAAAACTTCTACATACTTGGACGTCAGGTGACCCCGTCTGCCAGGAACAACCGAAAT